ACTTGCTTATAATAATACCTGCCATACCCTTAATACATGCTAAGATGGCAGTTTTCTCTGATGTTTTCTGTGGAGCATGATCTGTAGCCACACAATCTAATCTCATCTGTGGGGAATAATTAATTATGTAAGCTTTTCAGTAGCTTCCCTTCCCTGACCCCTGCCCTTAGGTATGCCTTAGGGCAGTAAATACATGTTCTGCTTAACTGATACTTCCTTTTCTCCTGGGTAAAACAGCTCATCCTGATGTTAGATGTAATGATGGTTCTAACTTAGAAGCACAGATCATATCTAATGCTGCAGGTATGTGCTAGTGTATAAGTGAAACATTTACACAGTTTCTTTACTGCAAAATGTATTGATGAGAGTTCTGTCAGATGACTTAAGATCATTATACTGAACGGGTGTTGCAGTCAACCTTGCTATGGTTCCTAAGCACGGCTAAACAGTTTTGCTTACACATAGTCTAGATACTTTCAGCTATGCTGAAACAAGAAAGTTACAGATCTTGTAGATCTTCCTGTAGGAATGGACAGCTAGTCAAAGATGTGGATTTTCTAGGGACTGCATTAACTCACAAACTGTTACTCACTGCTGTATTATTAATTGAGGGCCATGAAAAAAGCAGACTTAAAGCAAGTTTGTTTTAACTGTGAATATTAGTTGAACTGATAAATTTCCCGTCCTCTAAGTAAAAATCCTGGTTGAGGTGAGTCATTATTGATGACAGTTGGTCACACTTGCCACTATCTTCTAATACCGCTGTACTGAATAAGATACATATTTCAGATTCGGAATTATGACAGTCTTAATAGAATATTCTGTTTTAGTTACGATATATGTATAGTGCTAGCAGTCTTTGAAGTGAACAAGTGCTGAACAAATCTTGCAAACTACAAGTTTGCTTTTGCATAGATGTTTATCCTGTAGAAGAGCTTGTCTGGAGACTGATTTGAACAGTTATGCCTGTTAGTCCTTGACACTGCCATTTAAAATATTATCTTTTCATTTCCTTTGAGGAGTTAACACACAAGGCGTTTAACCTGTCAGTATCTTAACATTCCTATCAGTGTAACTGAATCATACAGTGTAGAGTGTGAGAAACTTAGTGCTGGTAAAAACAAATGTTTGTTCAGTATTATTTTCTTTTCTGGTTATGCAAAGTTCTCTGTTTATAGCCTAGCTACAAGTTTAGCAAGCAGTTCAAGTGCCAAAATGAGTTGTCCTCTTTTGACTCCTAGTAATAGGATGGATCAGGAAGTAGAGCTCTGATAATAAATCTTTCTTCTACCTAATCAATATTTTGTGGTCAAGAGAATGCATATGACAGATGTCTACTTATCTGTGTTGTTTGAATACATTTTTTTTGAAAAAGAAATTTTCTCAGCTATTTATGTGAGCTATGACTGCCAAGCTCTGACAAATTAAGAAATTAATAAGAAAAACTAAAAGGTATGGGAATTTAAAAATTGATATATTCACAGTGCTTTTACTTCAGTCACTGTATAAGAGTTTCCCCATGGATGTATTGCAGGCCATTAAATGCTCAATGACACATTGATGTTGTGGTTGGGCAGTGATTTTATAGGAAAGTCTTGAGTTGCCTAGATCCAAGTTCTGTATTCCAGAACACAGTAACACAGGCTGCCACAAGTTGCTTTGCTATCGAGTTACCTGTGAGTGATGTAAACAGGGAGGAACTAGCTGCTCTCAAAGAAACAATTGCTTGATGGCATGTAAATACAATATTTAGCCTCTACACCTGTATGTAGGTAAGGAAAATAGTGTCACATGAGTCAGCCAAACTCTGCTAACAGGAAGCTAGAGAAGGTGGGAATGGAGGAGCCTTTCACAGTGGAATGTTTATGAACAGATTTTCTTCCTAAAACCACTATCCCAGAGGAAGGTGCTGTTTTGCATTGTTTCTCCCTCCACTGCACCCTGATAATCCTGAAAATTAGAAGGTAATGAGGGTGGCCATTTCTGACGGGAGGGGGGAGAAACCTAGGAGAGTGCAGCATATTTAGGGCAACAAAGCAAAGGGTGCAAGAAAAGAAAAGTGATCTTTAAGAATACATCAGGAAAAAGAACAACTAAAGCAGTACTTTCCAACCTGCTGTTTTTATTTCATTTGGCTGGAGATTTTTTCAGCTTATGAAACAAGAGAGGGGAAGAGCTTCTTTTTCTGCTATTCCTGGCATCCTTTTACTACCCTCTGCTTAATTTTGAGAAATGCAGGGTCAAAAGAGGGCTTTTATTGGGTGATATTAAGTCAAGACTAAACATAAACTTGGCAGAAATAATTGCATAATGTAGTTGAAGTCTCCTGACTGTTGATTTGCTCTGAAGTCTTTTTTCTTTCCCAGCTAGCTGGAGAACTTCAAGTATGGGATATAATTAGTTTAAAAAGTGATTGTGTAGGACCAGACAAAAAAACACATTAGTCTGTATGTGATTGGCATGTGTAATTAATTATATGTAAATAGAGAAACTAGCATGTGATTGATATAATAGGAGAGAGTATTTCTTGGTGCAGTTCGAAAAAGGATTTGTGAGTTCTAATTCACAACATAAAGTTTTTAAAGCAAGAAAAAACAGCTGCAATTTTTTAAATGCAAGGATTTTTACAGTAGCTTAACCAAAAATAATGACGATCATGGCTTTGAAAGTTATTTTTCTTAGTTTTGGGTACATAGAACAAGGAAGTTCTAGTTTAAGTTTACTTCTTCATGAATAAGAGGACCTTTAAAGTTTCCTTTGCTTTTTCTTAAATCTTGGGGTTGCACAACTGCAGTTGTCTAAACAAGTAGTTGGCTCAGGCTAGTTACTCATTTTTGAGTATATACATGAGCTTTTGAGGGTATATACATGAGTAGTTTTTGTTTTCATCTACAATAAGTATTCTTTGCGTTGTTACTGATTGTGAGACACTGGCTCTAATTTAGAGAGTGCTGCTTATTCTGTAGAAACTACAGACTGTAGGTTCTGTACCATTCTGCCAGTTTTGTCATGCATGTTGTGGATGATGTTTTTGGTGGGGATGTTTTTGTCTATTTTAAAGGTAGGTGTAAGTAAGGATTGCTGTCTGGTTGGGCTGTTCAGACTCTGTACTCAGTCTCTCCTTTCAGGGTCAGTCCTACCTGAAGTTTTAGCTTTCATTGTATTGCATAGCCTATCTCTTTCTCCTTGTGTTCTGAAAAATAACACTTGCACTTCTGGCTAATGGAGAGAGTACTTTTTTTTGTCTTGGCTATAGATGAAGAAATATGTTCTGTCAAAAATCTCCATTTAATAAATATTTCAAATAGTTGCTGAAATAATACTAAAGTTAACGTTGTGAAGCAGAACTTCTCATCTTAAGGTGAGGTTTTAGGGGTAGGTGAGGGCTGTATGTAATGACACTGCCACCATTGCTATTTACAGTAGTCAGCAGTCTTTTATTGTTCTTTATTGCAATATATAATCTTGTTACTGTTGATCAAAAAGTGTTAATTGTGATACTTTTACATCTTTTTTGCAAATTGTTCTGAGTAAGTAGTTAGTAATTAAGATGCAACAGTTATTGGTGTTGTGTTGCTAATCATTAGATGGCAAAAATATCTATTTTGGTGTCAAGTGACTTCTAATTACATAGTTAAATACCTGTGAGAAGAAGAATCCATTGCAGAAAGGTTCCTTCTGCCTATGGTTCCAGGTCTAACATTACTAAAACAATTCAAAAATAGTCAAGGTGAGATTTTTTTTTCCTTCCAAAAACTTTTCATGTTGATCTAATGTAGATTTCAGAGAAGTAAGTGTTAGATCTTCAGTGCTAGAATGGCGAGGATTCTTAAAAACTTTTGTACTTTCTCTTCAGCATGGATAAAATTGTTAATTTTCTTTGAAAGTACATTAGGGAAGGGAAATTCTGAAAAGAAAAAACTAAGGCAGTTTAGGGATTTTTTTTTTTTTTTTAAATGGAATTTAAATAGAAGAGAGGAAAAACCCCTCCATTTCAGTGTGATCCTGTTTGAATGGGAAATAATGGCTATGTCTAATTATCAAGTAATTCAATACAGAAGGAACAAATCAACAGATGAAAGCAGTGATGTGTCTTACATAGGTTTTGAATGTTTTACCTATGGCTGGATCTAGTCTGCTCACAAGTTTTGCCAGGATGTTTGTAGCTCAAGGCTGTCTGATCATAGGTTCAGACCTTTATCTTCGTTAGCGTTTGTAGAGTGCGCAGTAGAAGAACAGGAAGAACGAAGATGTAGTTCACAGGCACTGAAACAGCTCTGCAAGCCAAACCAGCTCCCAGTAAGTGTGGCTGATGAAGGGTTTTACTTCAAAACTGTGCTACTGCTCTGAACTAAAACATTAATTTAGATCCAGCCAAGGAAGTTTAGCAGTCATCTCTTGTCAATAGTCTATCGGGAATGTGAGAGATTTGAAAGCATATGGCTGTGCTTGGGCATTTGATGCTAACAGTTGTTTTAATAAAATAAAGCCGAGCTTATAAACTGATCAGATGCATTTCCTGACTACAATATGCTGGTTTTATGGTTGGTCTAGAGTGTCACTGGTCTTACATCAAATGATGCAATGAAACGGAAATAAAATATCTTTTGGGTGCAGTGGGAGAGGACAGAGGAGATGGAAGTAATTCCGTTTGAGTTAAAAGCAGATTTTAATTAGTATGAAGGATGTCTAGGAAAATTAGAATTGATGTCTTGCAGAGGGATAGGAAAAAGTATGATTTGTTTGCATTATGGATGTTGTATTTTGAACAGTAATACTTAAAACTGTTGCTAAAAATCTAATATGAGTGAAAACTTTGCTGACCAGGCTTTCCTGTGAAAAGAATTGGTATAAACTTCTAAGTTAAAGTAATTCATTTGAAATAATTTATATCTGTATTATGTTTATATGCTTACTAACACAGTGTTGTGGAACTTTTTTTTTTTGTTTGGTGGCGTTTTTTTGTAGGTTTTAACAAGTGCAATTTTTTTTTAATGCAGTCCTTCCAGGGAAGCCAGGGACGAGCCTACCTCTTTAATTCTGTGTAAGTATGTTGTTATGGTTATGCACAGTACCTACAGGGTGTAATATTTTTGGTATACTTTGTAAGTGGAAAACTGTAGGAATTAGTGGAATTAGTGTAGCTGCACTTTAGTTTTACTCTTAACATTGGCTTTACTCACCAGCAATAGTTACCACAGAGCTATTGAGCTGATTGCTAAGTATCCCCATGCATATATTAACTTATCTTATATTTTAAGTAACTCTGCTAATAGCTGAAAGTTTAGGGGAAGGTGTTAATGTGAAATTCCTTTTGTGTATGTAATTGTCACTGTCTGGAGTAAGAATTGCCATTCTGAGATATTCCAGAAATCAAAAGATACTGTGTGACTATAAATTTGCTTTAGACAACTCTATGACAGTCTAAAGAAGAGTTTTCCAGTGTGATAGATACATTTATAGGTTAATGTTCCAGTAAAGCTGGTGCATCTTAAATGACCTTGAGTATTGCAAATGTGCTAGAGGCAAAAGGTCTCTGTGATCTTATCAAGCCTAATATTTGCAATTTTAGGCATGTCCTACCCATGATATGAGGCTCTTTTTGAATTTGCTAATGGATGTATTTTAAGTTTCTATTATGCAGGATTGAATTTTTGTCTTTATTTTTCAGCAGTTTATTGTGTTGCAGCATTTTGGAAAACAGAAATGCAGTTAAGTGTCTTAGTCTATTTTAGACCAGGATAATGCAACTATAACTGCAAAGAACTTGATTGCAGATCCTTGATATTCTTTTTATATGTACTCGTTCAGTGGTGTCTTGGGACTTCTAGTATAACTGTAGTAGTAAAAATCTGGTAATACAATGGCAAAAATGACAAAATTTTGCTTTTGTATAACATTGTCTAAAAACTTTGTTTAGTCTTACCTGATGTTTTCTGCATAGACTTTTATTTATTAAAAGACTAGCTTGATGCTGTACTTTGTGGGATGTTTTGTTTTTACGTTGCTGTTTGTTCGTCATAGCTTAGTCTGCTGATCTGTAGCAAAGAAATGTTTGAGACTTTTTCCTTGCTGCTATTTTGGAGTTGATTCTAAGTTCTACTGTTGGTGCTGATTTGCTGGTACAGACTTCCATTATAGAGGTCTCAAATTGTTTTTGAAGTAAAACCTGAAACATAGAGGTGTCCAGTTACTCTTAGTGTTCTGTTCTCTGAAAGCTTAACTGTTTAGCCTGTCTTTGTTGATGGAAGTAAGTGGGCATCATCAACAGTTTGCTGTTTAGATGAGCCACTTGGGGAAAAAACAAACTAACAAAACAAAACAAACAAAAACACGAAAAACCCAACAAAAAACAAACCCCCTTTTTCTTCCTGTCCTTCAGCTCAGTATAACAGAGGAAATTACTTTTACAGCATTGAATGTTTAGGCTTTTTTTAAAACTATTTTTTATCCTCTGGAGAAAAGGTGAGTAACAGGTGAAAAAAGAAATGCTCTCATGCAGTTAATGTTGAGAAATTTCTTTTTTTTTTTCCCAGGGTAAATGTGGGCTGTGGTCCAGCAGAGGAGCGAGTTCTTTTGACAGGTTTACATGCTGTAGCAGATATCTATTGTGAAAACTGTAAAACCACTCTTGGATGGAAATACGTAAGCAATATACTTAAGTCTTCAATAAATGTTTATATGTTGAAGCATAGATATTTGAGTAGACCATTGAGTTTGAGTAGCACCTATACTGATAGTTCAGGTGAGTTAGCTCTGGTGCTTTTGTGTATATCAGACTGTAATGTAGCTTTGCTTCCTTACATCTGCTGGAATGTTGTAGTAGATAATAACTTTATTCTGGACTGCAAAGCAAGCATGAGCTATAGGTGCTATTATAGCTATCTACTAGCTCTGTAATATCTTTTTGCAAGATTACCAACCACATAAGCTAAACTGGATGAAAGAAACTGTCAAAGTGAGTCTTTAGTTTCTTGGATTGCAAAAGTTGGTTCATACAGCAAAAACATGAATTATGATAAAAGGTACTGAGTGTGTTTACACTGCTTACAACTAATGTGAACTTCATTCTATTGTTTGAAGAGTTCTCTGCACTTGCGCAGTTACCTGTAGTGCTTGCAGCTGTGTTGCAAGTTTGATGTTTTGAAAATGTTTGGTTCTGGTGTTGCGTGTAGGATTTTTGTTGATTTCAGTATAGCTTCAGATTTTATAGCATTCCCTCTGAACGTAGGGGAGAGCTTTCGAAGGTTCCCATTCCCTCTTTTCATTGCTCCTAGGAATAAGGAAACTGAACACGCGTTTACTAATCCTCACTTAAAAAAGCGTTAAAATTCCCTAAGCAGTAAGAGAACATGGAAGTTCTGAAGCAAGGATCTGCTGATTCTGCTTATGAGAAGTTTACTCCTATTTCCCTCTCAACCCTCTTCATCCCCTCTTTCCTCCTTTCTGCCCATGATTTGGTGTAACTGACATGAGGTGTTAATTGGAATGTCTCCTGCTTTGTATTTTTAATGCAAGTTTGATGTTTAAAATACTTAATTTCCCAGCTTAATTCAGTGTCTTGATTTTTCTTCTTTCCAGGAACATGCTTTTGAGAGCAGTCAGAAGTACAAAGAAGGAAAATTTATCATTGAACTTGCCCACATGATAAAAGACAATGGCTGGGAGTGAATCATAACTTTTTTCCTTCTGTTTGGACTATATTCTGTGGAACATATTTTACAAAGACTAACGCAAAATAAAGGAAGAGTTTGGCTAGAGTGGCCCTGAGAATATCACTGAACTCTGAAACCTCACAAATGAGTAGTGTAGTGTAAGTGGCTATTTCAGGCCATGTTTGCCTTTTCTCCTTGTGTAAGTTCCCTCTTTTTGTACGTGTATTATTGTGTGAACAGTTGTTTTGGAACATTTTGGATGACCTTTTTCTAAACTCTCTCAAACTAGAGAAACAGTTCACTAATTGAAAATGGATTTTACTGGTTAGCATCTATCTCTGACCTATGCCTTTAATGCTACCTTCTGCTGTGCATGCTTCTTGCCTAAACACCCACACTCCAGTCCTGTAGAAATTCTATATCTGAGCAGTCCGAAAGAATGTATGGGATGGGGTGCTTTTTTATATGTAGCAATTTCTGATGTGTTTGGCAGTGAAGAGGATGCAGTATTGTAGTTATTAATTTCTTTTTTAAATTTGAGTGTACCACAACCTGTGTACATCTTGTAGGTGAATTGGTTAAAGGTACAGTGCTCGCTTTAAAAAAATATTTCAATTGCACTGACTGAAGTTAGCAGGTCTCAAGCTGTTAGGAAAAGTTATGCTAGAAGTTTGGTATCTTAATGGAATACCTTAAAAGGATTTTAAATCAATAATGCTATAGAATATGTTCATTTAAGACCAGTATATTCCCTAAGGAGTTTGCTGGATAAGAAATTTATAAAACTATAGCTAGCAAGATTAAAAAGGCAGAAATATATGCATCTTCTATTTTGGAAAAAAAAATTAGTCAGTGTATTAAAAGTTTTGGTACCGTACCTTTGTCAGTAATGGGGACTTGTGCATCAGTAAAGTTTTATGGCTGGTTCCATGTAACTGTATAGTCCTAATGCACTGATCAAAGAGGTTGATATTGAGGAAGCTTGTTGAAGTAGTCTGCTTCTACTACATTTGAACAAAAATATTTATTTTTGTGGAAAATGGCCAGAGCCTATGACATAAGAATTAATATAGTACCTGTAGAAAAAGGAGGGGTAAGAAGAGGGAAGGGAAGTTTGACTCAGTGTTTCATAAAATAAAATAACAAGATAGTTTTTAAAACTTGGGGGTGGGGAAAGGGTTTTTTGGTTTGCTGGCTAAATCATCCCCAAGTACCTTTTTATAATAAAAATTTATATGAAACTCACCTTCTCTTTTGTTCTCACACTGTTTCTTAAATGGAATGAGTTAATGAGAAACTTCTGGAAAGTGTATGCACAATATTAGCTGTTGGTATCTGTGCATGCAAATTCTGAGCAACTACAAAAGAAATGCTCTTCATAAAAATTTGCTAACTTTTACTTTCAATAAACAGTCTCTGAGGACCTTTTGTATTTTAATCCTTTTAATGCTTGAGGACAAAATGCTTGGAAAAATTCTTTAACACTACATAAGTACTATAACTGAACAATATGGAAGCCTTGCAATGCAAAATCATTTTCTCTCAATAACAATTCTAATATGGCACCTGCAAAATTTAGTCATTGGTGCTGTTGCTGCTGTCACGTTTTTGGGAATCTCTGATAGGCTTTCTGAACTCTGCTGCACTTTAGAAATTTTGTCATACATGAAAAATTATGCCAATGGGTAGGGGCAATACAAGTCTTTAAAACCAGCTTTCCAGTGTCTTTGTGGAGAGAAAGAGAAGAGAGTTCACCCATGTGTACGCATTCTGTGTGATGCAGGCTGGCTAAACTGCATTCAAGATGTTTTAGTGAACTATACCTATGAATTAAAAATGTAAGAATTAGAGAAGTAGTTAAAGCTGTTTAGTTTCAGTCCAGAGACCTGAGGTGGTACAGTTGTGTTCAGCCTGGATTTTGTGGCTTACACATTACTAGTTCATGTCCATATCATCAAAGCTTCAAAGTCTCCTTTCTAACAGTGTCATTGATACAAGATGGGCTTTGGTGTTGCCTGTCCCTTGATCTTTTTGATCTGGAATTCTTGGGATTTTGTTTTCCTCCATTGTAATGTGTGTTGCTGACAAAGAAGGCACTAAAACTTTTATCAGCAAAAAGTTTGTGTTGGCTTCAAAGTCCAGTTGCAATGTTGATACTTGTGAACATGTTTATGTGAAGTTTGTGTATCTTTGGGCTTTTATTTCCTGGCTGCAGATTTGTTGAAGCAGTACACTGGACTGAAGACAAAAGTAATGGTTGCTTTTCAGTAGAGTGTTGAAATTCAAGAAAATAAGTATTAATGATTTTTCTCTCTAAAATCGGGGGTTTGGCTATCTCTTGTTGTAAGTTAATGCTGTCTATAACACAGTCTGACTCTTACTTAGAAATTCAACCTCTTTCTTCAGTGCATTATTTATATTTCAAACTGGACATTTTCACCAAAACCTTAATTAACTTTGATGCCAAAGGTTGGGATTTCATCAAGTGCTTAGCACGTAGAGCTTCAGACTGCTGGCATAAAGAGTTAATGTTCTATATGTGATGTTTATGGCTTTTAAGAGAACCAAACAAAGCAATATTCTTTTTGGTCTTTTAGGAGTGGACACTTAAGAGTAAAGAGTAGAGTTAGTAGAGAATTGCTATTTCATGCTGCCATGTAACAATTCTTGAGGCTCATTCTATTGAGGGAATATGTGAATTTTCTTCCTGTGTTGCTTGGCAGTGTCAATGATTATTTGCTCCCCTTGTAAAGATGTAGAGAGTTCTTGTTATTGGTTTTGGTGAAAGTAGAATCCAGATAGCAATGGCTGATGTGAAGAGGTCAGTCTGGTCACTGAACCCTCCAGCAGTCATTTGAAAGAAAAATAAGCTTACTTGAAAAAAAAAAAATTTTACTAAAGCATTTTCCCTCTAACCAATTTTTGTAATATATTAAAGATTATATTTAAAGTTTGTATGTGTTTGCTCTGGGCAAGTTTACTTCCCCTCCAACTTGAGCACTTTTGTTACTTGTACTGGTTATTTTTATTGTTGGTCTTAACATTTATTTTGTATTTTGTTTTTTATAAACTGTAACAAAAAGCTTTTGTGAACCTTTGTTTCTTGCTGGCTCTTTCTTGGACCAAATGAACTGACTATGAGCTGGCTTAGAAGAAATGTTCATTGGGATGCATAGGAATTTGCTAGCAAAAATGTACATGTATTGAAAGATTTTTTTTCTCTGAACCTCTAAAGCCACACCTGTCCTAAAGTAATTAATCATAATTTGATGTGACTTTAGTAATCTGACCACACGTTCTCTGTCTAGGTCCAAAATAACAATGGTGTTCTAGAACTGAGTCTGCCTCCAAACACTAGAGTTATTCTTTGGCTGGTCACTAAGTACCTTTTTGAATAATAAAAGGCAATGCTGCCATCTAAAAATTTTGTTAAGTTGCAAACTTGCTGTGAAGTAAGCTGCAGAATTTGGTGAGAGATTGCTGACGCATCAGCCTAGCCACTCTTGCTGTATGCTTTTAGCAGTCTCTTAATGTCAATTTTATCTGCCAGTAAAAAGGGCCAGAATATGAATTTCCCTTGTTCATTGTGAGCTATACAGTGACAAACTGCATTAATGAAGTCTGTTATAATTCCATCCTAATTTCCCACCAGCAAGCCCTAGTATTAATGGCCAGTCTGAGTGGTGTGCCTTGCATGCTTTTGCAATCCATGGTAGAGGAGGGGGAATACAGTGTTTGAAATTTCTTTAAATTGAAATCTGGCCTCAGAGGTTCTGACAAGTAGTCATCACTGTGCCCGTAACCAAACGGTCATCCGTATTTCTTATTGGTGTACCAAGCCAGTGCAAGAGTTCATGAATGCTGTGTACCATTTTTGGTGGACTTACACTTCCCTCTGAGTAATGCTCGTAGAGCTTGTTCTGCACGCTCATCTCAGCAGTCAGATTGCAACGGTAGTGACCTACAGTCTCTCAGACCAAGTTTTGAACATCTCCATTCTTTGATAATGACGATGAGTGGAAGAAGCCGTCAAATTATTGTTAAACTTTTTGGACACACTATTGTACTTCATTGAGACTCATGTTAAGCCAAACCAGCAGTTATAAACACTGCAAAAGGAACAGAAGTTTCAGAGGTTTCTTTTAAAAGGACTGTTACAAATGGTTTAAGGCCTAAAGCATGAGTCATAAATGGCAGTTGAGTTGTGCCTCATTGTTTCTTAAACTCTTTACAATGCTTTCTTTTACAGGTGACATGGCTGTGTTGCTGTTTTGTCCTAGCAATACTGTACATCATTTGTTGTTTCACTATATTGTATCTACTTGAGGTATCACAATAAAAGCTTTCAGTTGTTTTGTTGAGTTACGTGTTGGTTTTGTGCTGTCTTTTCTTGCTAATTAAATTCTCATGCTTTATTCTTTGATAAGGCCAGAGAGAAAAGCCAGTCCTCTTAGTTGCTCTTAAAAAAAAAAAAAGTCTAAATGTGGATTGAATCTGGTTTTATGTGGTTTTAAGACTGCTACTAAACATTTGGGTGTTTTATTTCACCAGCTTTTCCAAATACATATATAGAAAGTTGTCTTGCTACTTTTGGAGCTTTTACCCATTTTGAGCGAATCATGGAACCTCTGCAAAGTGCTTTCAAAAAGAGTCAGTCTGTGCACACCCCACAGCTAACTTTCAGAGAAACTGTAGGAAGTGTCAGTGTGCTTTCTGTTGCATTATCTTGGTCCTCCGTAGACCAGAGGAGCACTCTGAGCACAGGCACTCAATCTGTTACTTCTGTGTTGGGAGGAACTTGTGTAGTTCCTCTAATCAGATTAACAGTCTTCTCACGTGTTTGTGGAGTTTGTCTCCACTGTGAGTTGGTAACAAGGATGTGATGAACATTGGTCTTTTCCATCCAATAGCCCAGGTCATAGTGGGCTTCATATTTATTCCACCTCTATTTGCAGGAGGCAGTGTGCTGTGTGTGTTAACTGAAGGGCTCCCACCAACTTCCAGATACGAACTTTTCCTTAAAGACCATGTCAGGACATCACCAGCTGTCTGTAGCAGCAGGCATTACAGTGCCTCTTGGTTTCTCCAATGGAAAATCTCTCTGCAAAACAGCAAGTTTGGCTAAGAAGGAATGACTAAGTAGAAGGGAGATGATTTCTGTGATAAGCTGGCTACTTTTCTACTGTAGCCCCAGTATGTGGTTTGCCCCTTTACAGTGGGAGGGAAAACATGGCTCATGTTCAACTTGACATTCTCTGTAATCCCCAGGTCCTTTTACTCTCTGATGGTTTAGTAAATTGTTAGGCCAAGCAAAAGCAATGTTTTCTCCTGAAGACTAATCTGAAGATGGTCATGTCAATCTTAATGGTTGTGATTACAAGAGCAAAGGTAAACTGGAACCTTGTGAAAGGCTTTATATTTGAAAGACTTCATATTATTAATTTGGAAGACTTCAACCAATACCTCAGTTTAAACAACCCCCTCAAAAAGCTGTTTACTGATAGAAATATCCTTCAAAATTTCTTAATTGTAGCAAGGGACTATTGCAATGATTTAATTTACTTTTCTATATAATAACAGGTTTAGGATGATCCTTAATCACATTAAACTATGTGAAATAAATAATTTTCAAGGAAGTGTTTCACATCAGACTTGTTTGCTTATATAAGATGTAGGTATGTGTGCTAGGTAATACTAAAGTGTTAATGAAATTTTCCTGGAAATTCTAACTCCAAGGTAGGCTAAATTATCATTGTGATAATTTTGATTATTTTTAACATGATAAATCAGTAGGGTACATA